TCTAAACCACTGCAGTATGGAGTCTGGCCACACGAAACTGCACACCTGCAACCCTGACATATCCTGACTCCCTAGACTGGGTTGGTGTAACGAAGCTTCAATTAGAATACTTCAGAAGGGAACCGTTAAACCTTCATTTCAGTTACCATATTGTTGGCATATACCAAATAACTTGTTTGGTATATACCAACAATATGGTAACCGAAATGAAGGTCCTCAAGTACAGCCAAGTAAACCCCAAACCTGCAAGCGGCTAAGGCCAGGCTGACGCCTCCACGAAACTGCAGGTTTTAGGACTTCCCCTAACCCTAAGGCTCCATGTAGGTACTATTTATAGGGTTTGGGGCCCAATGTAGGTATTATTTATAGGGTTTTGGGTATGTAATTGTAGTACAGGTTTTGGGTCAGTATATGATTCTTAAACACTTGGACCCTTAGGGCTCGGGCAAAACAACTCGACATCACGGTCCAGCCGGCAGGACGGCTAGGAAGTGCCAACCCCAGGCCCCATACCGGGATGAGTTATGGCATGCTCTATTCGGATCCAAATGTGCTATAGTCTGAACTCCTTAAAGGGGATTATATAGGGGACCTTTTAATTAGGAGCAATTCTAGGGGTCATTAATTGGGGTTCTAGGAGTTTGAACTATATCTGAAATGAGGGTCGAACCAGATGAGGGTGCCATTGGCCCACCCTGTTTCAAGCATGCTTTTGAGGTTCATGGTGTCCGGTACAATCCTCTTCAACGTCACGGTTCTCAACTTGGCAACTCGCCTGCAGAAAGCCATTGTCTGCCAAGGTCTCAGCAACATGAGTTTTGAAACTTGCGAGTGCTGTGATCATAGCCTGTTTGATAATTCATTGAAGGCAGTACATCTGCAGGTGCAAGGGGTACTGGGTAGGGCTTATGTACCCTAAACCCCATAGTGCAGAAGCCTGAAGAGTTACCGGAATAATGGTCTTAAATTTCGTTTCTAGAGGGTGCCCAAATATACTTCGAACTTATATGGGTAGTTTAGGAACCCATATGGGTAGTTTTTGAACCCCCTACATTACGTCATCCCCTGTCAGCCTCAATAGATGCCCAGTTTTCATGTCACTCCCATGTTCTTTCCCAGTTGATTTGTCTTTATTAGCAATTACTTCGGCCCTTGTTTATATAGATCAAAACGTCATTGGTAAGCAGTGGTAGCTACATTCAAGATGATCCCTATAATCCCCTGTTGAAAGCCAGTCTCTAAATCTTTACATCCTAAACCCTGAAACCTGAACCCTAAGCCTTACATCCTAAAACCGCCCTAAACCCCAAATCTGTGGAGTAGCTGAAGGTCAGCGAGGCAAAGCAATTTTCCTGGTGTTCTCACTAGTAATAATCCAGATGCATGGGTTGCCAAAAAATTGGGGGGGGTCCTGTTTGAGGAGTTCCCATAATAGGGATCTAGTAACTAGTATGTTGTGGTCTATATTGGGGTCCTCCCTTTTATGGAAACTGCAACATGGCTTTGATTCAGAACCAGGGTTTCATTGAAGACCATTTACTTGAAAGGTTCTCCATGAAGCTGGTCTTTCACATCCAGAAGTGGCACATGAAATTTTCCAGGTGTAAGGCGCGGCCAGAATCATCGGCATCCTATTCCTTTGCAGTTGTCTCCCCCAAGGGTCCAAGTAGATGCATCGTATATGATTGTGCCCAAAATGGTTCTTAACGGTATTCTCGGCCTCAACAGCCACTACACAGGCACTTGGGTTTGCGCAAACTTCTGGACCTTTAATTGGGAAAATGCTGGCTAAGGTTATCGCCGTCTACGGCAATGAGTATGACCGGGTGAACTCCGAGACTGAGCTTCACTTCATCAAGGAACGGGCAAAATATTGCCGCTGGCCTCAGGAAATCGTCAGGCTTGTGGTGGAGGGACTCCCAGCTTAGGAAGGTTATAAACACTTATAAGTACTTAGCCAGGTTAGATTGCGGTAAGATAATTTAGCATGATTTAACATAACTTAACATGACTTAGCTTTACGATTTTTTCATGATTGATAAGCACTTATAAATACTTATAAGTACTTAGGGCTAAGTTTGCTAAGTCCGGCCAAGTTCAGCTAAGTTTATTCTAGTGTGATTTCGGATGTCTTTTTTCTATATTAAAATTTGCGTCGAACTCGCTTTCGGAAGCGGCCAGGGCCGCCCATCGCGCAGCAGGAAGGAGTCTAGAAGGTTTCAGGCTGCTGAGGCTGCAGCGAGCTGCGACGGCCCACATAATTGGCAGTGTTGGCTGGTATTGGCCTCTCGGGACGGGGGCGGGAGGGCGGTATTAGGCGGTATTGGATGGTATTGGCCGGGGGGGGAAGGGCGGTATTGGGCGGTATTGGGTGGTATTGGCCTTTCCGGTTTTCCAGATTTCAGGGAGTGGCGTTTGTGGAGAGCTCTAGGAAACGCAGGAGGCAGCGGTATTGGGCGGTATTGGGTGGTATTGGCTTTTTTGGGGGGGCCGGTATTGGGTGGTATTGGCCTTTT